TTCCAGGCTCTGAAGAAGGCGAAATCCGCCGAAACGTCAGCTTAATCGTGAACAAAGAATAGTAACACCTCGCGTTTGATCAACAAAAATACGAACAAAATCACTTGAACAATGCCGAGGTTAATAGAAAGTCGGTCGTGGCATAAAAGAAAAACTTCAACAGTGATATAATTCATTTGTCTCAAGGCTGCAAAAATCCTCCTATTGGTTATTTTGTACTCCTCTTCATTTCCCATTCCTTCCAAACAACGATCGGCTAGTTCGACATTGTCTAGAGCAGCAACGAAGTCCACTCCAACTGTAGTCGGCAAATTGGAACTTCACTTGTCTGCGAAAACCTTCCTCCGATCGACCAAGGATTGTTTCTGAAGAAGACACGGAGATTTTCCAATGGAGTTATCCTAAGATTACTGGAAAGGCTAGCGGGCCGATCATTGCTCACTGATATTTACAGCGAACTAAATGAAGAAAGAGGTGGAGCTCAGACTATGCGAAAACGAGGTATATAAATAAGGAAACAACTAGATAATGCATATCGTCTTCAGGTTTTAGCGAAACGGATGCTCACAAGCATTTGCTACCCACAAGAGTAAGCTACGAACAATACGAACCCGCCTACTTTCAAATGGCACCACGATTTGCTTGATTGCAGTCGATGCATCAGAAGCCTTAAGTTTTCCATAGGAGGCGCTGAATTCCGTTACGCTATGCCGAAGGGTGCCTTACTTGATCTATTTAGGTCTGGTCCTCTTCTCTCTGTTCGTTGTTATCTTTTTCCAATTCTTCAAGAAACTTTGTCTTAGCGGGACACTTGCTAAAAACAAAGGGAGTTTTGCCTCATGTTGTGTCTGCCTTAATAAATTATGTCTAAGGTGTAAGCAGCAGTAATAGATTTCCACCCACATCCCCAATGTAGATATATAGATGATTGCTTTGTCATGTTCTCCACACAAGAGGGAAATGGACAAATCCTTCGAGTTATTGAACGAACAGTCAGAGACTACTTCATGCGGAAGAAACCAAAGGAAAAATGGCTTCCATTCCTGAACATTTAATTAAAACTACCTGAAAACGACCACATTACAAAATGGTATCTAAAGCAAAGCAGTGTTCATTACCTCTTCTCCAATCCCACACACACAAAAGGGATGCCTGTAGGAAACATTTTTGGGACACCCACCAACTTTCGCATAAGAAAAGAGCGAAAGGAGAAATACTGGAAAATGGAGAGGTAAACATCCATTTCTAACGTTACGAAACTCCTCCGGATAGGAGTAGAGGAAGACTAGAGCCCCCAATTGACACGTCTAGCAATAACAAGGTCCGGTTTATCCTGCTCTCTATTTCCAATGAAATAAGTGCGGCTACCAGACGTTCAAAAACAGTTGGCCTAGTGAATTCGGTAACAGTTGTTGAAATACCACCACTCTAAAACGCAGCTCGTTCACAACCGCCTGTGTGATCGTCTATATAGAACGCAGAATTGTATAAAGTGTCCTAATGACAGAGACGGTGATTGCATGAGTTCAGTACAGTTTCTCCGACATTTTGTAAAGTATGCGAAGACGAATACATGAGCGAAATGGGTACACCACTCTGCGTCCGCATTGATGAACACTTGAAGTCGGTACACTTAATGTTAAACCAAGCACATTGGGAGAGCATAGGACACACAGACAAAACGGTTAACATTTTGTAGGAGAAGTTACCATCCTCGCATAGGAATCGAAAACATCAGGGTGCAAAGCTTTCGAGACATTCTGGATGAATTCCAACGATCCGGAGATAAACCGCCAGTAAGGAATGCCCTGTAATCACGCGTGATCTCAAGCAGTATTTTACGGTTGATATTTTAATGTGAAAGAGGCACATTACGCTTCCAAGTGAACTGCGCTAGTCACCACGTGAAATACTCAGTGGAAGGCTCACAGAAAACGGTGAATGTGCGAAAAATGCATTTTGTATGCAACGCGAGTGATATCTTGTTCCAGTACTTCTTTGTTTGGTCATGGTGTTCGATTGCGTACGTTGCGGTCAACTACACCTTCCAGGCTCTGAAGAAGGCGGAATCCGTAGAAATGCCAGCTCCTTTGTAAATAACTCATAAAGTAACTTCTCGGGTTTGCTCATCAAGATTATAGTGTCTTGTTTAATCAACGCTTGGGTTAACAGGAAGTTGTTCCAGAGAACGAAAAGAGCAAAAAGTTCGCATTTTCCTTGACAATAACGTCCCATTGCTTTCTTGATAGCAGCTACATCATCCAAGGTTTGCTCATTTTATGAAAAACACGATGTCGAAGAAAGTAGTAAGTGCTGTTATCCCCACACTACCAAACCTCCTCTTTGATATTTGGATTTCACATCTTACGTGAAGCCCCTGCTTTACTAACCAGATGACGCCCGTGTAGCCTAGTGGTAACTGGTGCAATACATGATCGCTGATTCGATCTCGCATTCCATCCTTGCCAAGCCATCCATCACTCCGCAGTCAGCAAATTGGTACCAGACCTATCCAGGATTAAAACAGTGGCTTGATACATCGGTCGGCCACCTCAAGTCACTGTGTAGGCCAGATATGCATTAAGCCACCTCTATAACGCTCAATAAAGTCGGATGCTCGACGCGTTACTCAGCGACTTATTAATACCGAACTTTGTTTTCCTGTTCAGCAATCGCGAGGTTTTTAAACAGCATATATTTACTTCCATAAAAAATACAATACAATACAACGCTAGCTGACGTTTCGGCAGTATCGCCTTCTTCAGAGCCTGGAAGGGTATGCTGATATACAATCTACTAGGCCAAACACTTCAATAACACTTACACAAAGACGAAAGGCTCTTTGGTAATTACACGATCAACAACTTCTCGAAAAACCACCGCTTTTTCGTGACTTCCAATGAGGAAGTTTAGAACAGCTGATTATAGTCGCATGTGGTTGACGACTGCACCATCCCACATCAAAAATCGATGCGAACGTACGGGATCAGGTCGCGTATGACCTCCGGGCATTCGTCCCTACTATTCATTGTAGGGTTTTTGGCATTGATCCAAAAAGCCTCAAGGAGTTTTCGCGCTGGTGTTTTGGACTCCTGTGCAAGGATATTCACTTTTACTTCAAAATCGTCTCCGCAATGCTTTTGTATCCTATGCGTGCCTAGTGGGGTGCTTCGTCTTAGTTTTCGTTTGCCATCTAGGTGTTCTTTTATACGGATACACAAAGGTCTGCCCGTTTCGCCAATATATTCATCTCCGCAATTGTTACAAGACATCAGGTATATCGTACCTGAACTCATGCAATCACCGTCCCTGCCGTAAGGGCAAATTACGCAATTTGTTGTTTCACACAGACGGTCATACAGGCGGTTGCGAACTAATTGGCGACGTAGAGTAGTCGGTGGTATTTCAACTATCGCTACCGATTCCTCTAGACCTGCCCTTCTTAAGCATCGTTTTATAGCTACGCTTACTTCATCGCTTATAAAAGGCAACATAAACGAGACTTTCTTTTGGCGAAGTGTTTCGCGCCGGCGCGTCGTTTCCCTTCTAAACCTATCTCGTGGGGTTACTATTTCGTAGCAATTGGAGATGGCTATTTGCCGGGTCAAGTCGCGCGATTGTTCCTTTAGTTCCCTGGTAGTGCACACAGAGGTGGCTGTTCGAAACATGTTTCTCGCAATCGCCGTCTTTGTGTGTGAAGGATGGGAAGAAAGGAAATGTTCTGAAACGAGGATGTTCTTGTTACTTGGCTTTCGGTACCACTTTGTCAGGTAACCGCTATTTGATAGGTTTAATTGAACGTTTAGAAACGGAAGCCAGTTTTTTTCGGCGTTCTCAAAACCCTTAATCACTACCTCGATAGGAAGTTTATCTCTAACCTTACAGTCGCACAAAAATGTGGCATGCGGGAAATTAGAGAATTAATAAACTCGAAAACAATGAGATTGTCTGTTAGTGATAATCCCGACGTGATAATAATCGTGATATAATCAACCATATGCGACTATAATCAGCTGTTCTAAACTTCCTCATTGGAAGTCACGAAAAAGCAGCTCTGAAGAAGGCGATACTGCCGAAACGTCAGCTAGCGTTGTATTGTATTGTGTTTTTATGGAAGTAAATGTATGCTGTTTAAAAACCTCGCGATTACTGAACAAGAAAATGACACATTCATATTCCAATGCCGAGGTTAATAGAAAGTCGGTCCTGGGAACCGAACTTTGTCCCCATCTGTAATCACACACGGGATCCTTTATACAACATGTATTCCACAATGACCGGCACTTTCAGGGATTTCGTTCTCTTTCGAGTCTAGAAAGGGTCACACTGATTCGCACTTAACTCTGTTGTGTATTTTTCTCTACCAAGGGAAGAGAAATCAAAACCTAAATTATTAGATAAAATCGATCCCTATAGGGGAACGTAAAACCATAAAGAGGCGAAAAATTTTTGAAGCATTTTAGATAGCATTTTAGCCTTCCTTTACCGCGCTACTGAGTATGGAAAAAATAAAAAACACAAAACAAGAAGAGATTTATTCATGGAAAATTGTTATAAGCAATGATAATGAAAAAACTAATGAACGAATACAGAAGAGTGAATGCTGTTAATCTAAGATACTGAAAGGAAAACGATCCATAAAACCTGGTAGCAAAGATGATTGAAAACGATAAGAGCAAATGTTAACATGCAGAAGCAAGACACGCTTACGAGCCTGATTGCTTTTCTCATTTTTTTTTTAGGAATTTTGTAGGATCAACTGAAAATGAAGAATCTGACGTGATAATCGACCGATTCGGCATAGAGTGAATGAGACAAAAGCAACACGTTAGCATAGATGTATGGGAAGAGCCTCTGTTGAAATCATGAAAAATATCAAAGAGAAATACGGACCTTGAAACTTTGGTTGGGTTAATAAAGGCTTTAGCGCACAAATAAGGTGAGCTGCCGGACAGGCGGACAGTATGGAAAGCAAGCACAGATGGACCTTTAGTGATCACTCACTGCTCCTTTTTCTCACCTTCTCCTGGCAATTTCTTCAAGAATGGTAGTTTTTCTTCAGCTCTGAAGGTATCTATTCAGATTAGCTTAAAAATTTTTCTTATGAAAAATCCGATATAAAAAACGATATTGTTATGAAACTTTTTTGAAACAACTTTGACATGATGCGTTTTCGTGAAACTCGATATCAACTTTAACTTTTCCACTTTTTCCTTTTCCTTTCCATTTTTACTGTATTCTCTTTCTAAAGAGGAGACAAAGATTTTATGGGACGGAGAGCACAGTGGTAGTGATGCCGATCATCACGAGCACGGTAGTTGTTCGATCTCGTCCCAAGCTCACCAAGTTTCCTATTCCCTCGAGGTCAGGAGATTGGTACCGGACTTTTCCAGGGAAAAATCATTCCGTGCAATCCAATTGGGAACGCTCCTGACCGGCTTATTTCAGGATTCCAGGAAGAGAAGGCTCGACCAGCAATCTACGACATTCAAAATGAAATAGAAATCCTCAAGCAACAGCCGAACCCACGCGAAGAAGTTAGAGAAGATCTTAGTATATGATGGAAGCGAGGAAACAAATCGAATGTGAGAAGTGCTGGGATCAGAGGATCACAGCACTTCTCACATTCGATTTGTTTCCTCGCTTCCATCATATACTAAGATCACAATAGACGTGAAGATGGGTCGTATGGGTAGTATAAAATAAAAAAATCAATTTTATGTGCTCCGTTAATACTAAATCTTACACAGATTGCCAAAGTTCTTTTTGTAAAACGGGATTACTGTATGGTAAGACAAAATATAGGAAGAAATAACTCACATCGTGCAAATCTTCTTAATGTGCTGAGAAATCATGGCCAGTTGTGCGTCAATCTGCTCCTTATACATTTCGTAGACTTTTGGAACCGAGAACGCAGCAAGAACAGCTGAAATCGGATAGCCAGTAATATATAGACGATATGAAGAATCCAAAGAACGTCAGGAATACAAAATTTCACCTAACACTACAAGGACGAATCCAGAGAACCAGTAACCGATATATGTCATAGCCCACAAAATAAGCGCAAACTGAAATCTTCGATTGTACACTGGTAGGAAAGTACTGATAAGATGCCGTAGAGAAAACCCATATTACAACAGCATGAAAAATACAAAAAGTAAAATAAAACGAAAAAATAAAGAGATAAAGATGAGCAATAAGCAGTTCAAAAACCAATGATAAGGACATTTACATCTAATTAGAGGCTTACTAATAAAGAAATACTATTAAAGGTGAAAAGAACCAGTTGAAGGTTGATACATTTAATCTCCACACAATGTCTTCGAAAGGAAGATCTCAACGATTTTCAGTGATGCACTTCTATAATTTTGATTATAATTATGATGTCGCCACTTTTTATTTACTGCCTACTATTTTCTTTTAATGGGGGGGGGGGGGGGGGGGGGGGNGGGGGGGGGGGGGGGGGGGGGGGGGGGGTATTATGTGAGATGGCCGAAAGATGAGATGGCCGAAAGAAGGATGAAACGAAGAACTCGCATAGTGTGGTGAATAATGCGTTAGCCATCAGAAAGGGTAACGTCGTGTTCGATCCTCACCGCATACACCTGCAGTCTGGAGTTTTGCAAATATCTCACCATCATTGGTTATAATAAAAATCTTAATCGAAATCAACATAATCGCTACAATGGCATGAGCATTATCCTAACTTCTTTACCGAATTTCTTGAGCTTCATGATACCTTCTAGAATAGAAACCTTATGAAAGTACTTTATATTAGCTATGAACTTCCAGAGAAGAGCACTCATAGGAAACTCATCAACTAAGCCTCGAATCTCCTTCAGCTACACTAGGCTATAGAGTATCGGTAATAATTTAGTTGTCTGGGAGGATAGCAGCACTAGCTCGGTACATCGGTAGGCCACCGCGAGTCACTGTAGAGGCCAGATATGCGTTCAATCACCTCCAACGATACTTAATGAAGTCGCATGCATGGCCCATCCCTCAAGGATTGATCAACGCCGAGAGCTTTATCCTTTATCCTTTTAATAATTTAGTTTACCGGTAATATATATATATATAGATAAATTTATTCGATGAAAAATCTTATTTCACAAATCAAATGTTCTCTGCGAAGGATAAAGCAGTGACATATCCTGACACGGCCATACCGGCTTGCTTCGCATTTCACCATTACGGGTCACATCTGCGTTCAACCCGCACCTTCATAGGCTCAATGGAATCCAGAAGTTTTAATCCTTATTTAAAAGATTTCTAGTTCGGTTTAAAAGTATACGTCCAAATAATATTGTTTCAAAAAAAGGAGGATTCCTAGCATTACTTTACTCCCGTGGGCACTTCCAGCTCAGAACTCTGGACGTCTTTTCAGATGCAAGAACATACTTTCGAATACGACACGCTCTTTATTAGTCCTTTCAATAAGTTTATTTATTAAATCAAACCGGAACACCCTCACATAAAAGGCAATGAAAAAGAAAAAAGCTTGTGAAAACGGAGGAAACAATATAGAAAGTCCCTGGCACCCGCTTACCTTAGCGCTGTCAACGATGTTTTCAACAAAAATGAGTCTCTTCAAATGGTTGGCGAGAAGTGCAGCATGTTCAACCAGCACATCTACCTGGGCGTGAATTCGTTCCTGAGGAAGTGTAAGGTCCTTGGAGAGATATTCTCTAAATAAGAAGCGATGCTTAGGTGAGCAAACACTAAGACAACATTATAATGAGCTCAGAAAACTAACTGGAAGGGATTCTCTCCACTGGTTTTCTTCACTTGCGCCTCAATTGTCTTGTATACACGGAATCCGAGTGTGCCTGCGAGAACGGCAAGACCGGTATATGCGAATACAGAGATGATGGGGTACCTAGAAGTATAAAACTCAAAAAAAATGAAAACCCGAGAAAAAGTCAAAATTGAAAGAATATTTGAAAAAGTTGTCGAAAATCTCCAAAAACAAACGAAAACCAATGCAAGGCGCTTGAAGAAAAAACGATCCGAGAAACTCCTGACAGTGTTTTTTTTAGGAAGTATCCTTCAAAGCCAAAATGATCTACCCGAAAGTAGGACAAGCAAACTACATAAAATATTTGCCTATGGATTTCTTCACAACCATTTGTGAAACACAAAAACAATTAGATAGGAAAAAAAAATGAAACTTATACGACAGAAAAACTCACGTAGCAAATATGAAGACTACCAAGAGGATCAGTGACAAAGCAATGCCACTCCTCTTCGGATCACGCCAGTGCAGCAACTCCAGAACTGAAATAGTTCGTTCGAAAGTGGAAACGTAAGGAGATGTCATGTGTTAGTTTCCTCCAAATAAATTCAGAAACTTCTAATTCCCCGCTTTTACAGTACATATTTCAAATCAACATTAACCTCTCCGTTTCCAACTTCCTAATTTCTTATGAATTATCTCAAAAATTTATCCAACGAATACTGAAATCTACTTCTACTGAAGTCCATTTATCATCATTCAACGCACGATCAATGGCCAATGGTTCCACTTATCGGTGGTCGAAAAATTGGGCTACTTAACTTTAAACGAACATATCTCAATTCCTGTTGGTCTTATAAAAACTCCTGAAAGAATTGCACACATTGCAACCCGTAACGATGAAATACTGATTTCCTAGTACCTGCAAACCTTTTTTCCCGTAAACCTGTTTTTATATTAGAAAAAATCGATAGAACAAACGGGATTTCGTCTAATAAGATTAAAAGATGACCCTAAGTTACTAGCTTACCGATGCTCCATTGCCGTTAAAAACTTTAAAAGTTTAAATATCGTTCTCAATTATTCAACATTTTAATTTCAAACAGGTATAAAACAACAATTTTCAAAAACCATAGGTGCCTTCGGATTTGATGGAGCAAATTGCCTTCTAGATTTCGAAAAACCACAATAGGCAGTTTATACGATGGAATGTTTTTTACACCGTTGTCGCCTTCTCTACGAGATTTCCCACTGCGAAGATTTCAGAAATTAAAGCGAAGCATAGTTTCATGACCAGAATCAGATCCTCTATTACAAATAAGGAAGGAAACCCACTATCCATATCATACCATAGCACCAAAAGCGGAGAACTTCTCATACCATAGCACCAAAAGCGGAGAAAGGCTTGCTTCTCGCACGCTTTTTGTGAAAACACCTGAAATCTTGTAAATCAGCTCACCTTCCTTTTGATTTCCTACCAGCCGTGGCGACATATGCATCCCATTTGGTAGAAGAATGACTGGTGACGGAACAACGAAAAAACTCTGTGACGGAACTCAAAATGAAGGGTGTCTGGTGTGCCAATGACAATGTTACATCAGTGATACTATCGATTCTCTACCGCTAATTATTTGCACAGACTTACTCCTATGAGACTTACTATCGAAACGACGTCAACTCTTCCTATCCGGATGGCCAAATACTCCATGGTGCAGCCACATCGATGACGATGTACTCAATATTCGAATAGGAAAATTATTTGCAAGGCAAATTAAACTGTCGCTATAGTCATCGCTACAGGTTTAGAAAACGGAAGTGATAATGGGTATAAGGACACTACCGAAGAAGAAAGTAGAAATCCAACAACGCTTTGACGATGTGACAAAAAACTCCTATATTACCATAACGAGGACATACGGGAAACTTCCAGATGACCAAAGGCAAACACTATACTTTACCAATAAGTACGTACAATAGATAAAAAAAGTATAGATCTCATAGCTATATGACCAGAATACGTCGATCTGCTCAATAATCTACGCATTCCGATAGTCGTCGTCAATCGAACTTACTATAGTTATCGCCAACTTGTTACCAAGACATAGACATCTGCACGTAAATGAAGGAATCATAAAAGATTATATAGACTAAACCTATTTCCCAAGACCGACTTTCTATCAACCTCAGCAATGATTGATAATTCGATGTATCCCTTCAATAAGCGCAGACAGGAGGTTGTTATTACAGAATTTATTAGGATACAATAGCTGACGTTTCGGCTGTTTCGTCTTCTTCAGAGCCGTTTATTTGTTGTACGTATTCAAGTTAGTTGCTGGATAGCAACCGCACAGAGTAATACGTGGGCGGCAAACCTATTTCGCAAAATTTTAGTATAGGCGAAAACGATGAACACTTGTATCAATGCTACGAGTACGGTAGTACGCGATAGCAAACCAAGGGAATTATAGCCTTATACCTTAACCAAATGAAATTTTTAAGCATTAGTTTTACAACGTTCTTTTCATTCTAAGTATACAATTTACTATAAAACTACTCCTCTTGAAATGCTGATCTGGTCTGATTTGACTAGTAAAATTTGAAGAACATGTCAAACCACCGACATCTGTAACTAATGACTTGGTTCGCGTTCATTTAAAGGCTGACGTTCTAAACATATAGCGTTAGATAACCTAACTTCTTCTAACACCTCTGTTCAGTAACGATAAAAGATTTTTTCCACGAAAATCCACAAAAATGAGACTAGAACTATGAATCGCAGTTCACTACTTTTATTCTTAGTGGCGTAATTATAACGAGTAAGGACATTTCAGTTATGGACTACTTGGAAAGCCTAGTATTTACCAAACGTCTTATTTGGTTAGATAAGGCTTCTTTCGCGATAAATAATTGAAATAATGATGGTGTACTAATGACATCAAGACAGTTCCGAGCCACAGAAGTCACACAGTTCTTGAACCGCACACTATCTCGATCGCTAAAGGAATAAGGTCTACCGAAAAGTCAACGTTTCCCATTAATGACATAGGTGACGACATACCTAGTGGCTAAATAGTTGGTATAATTAACGCCGATTACGATTACCTACACAACTGTGTCCAATTTTCGTTGCGGGATGCATGGGATAACACTTAATTTCTGATTGCGCCTTGTATATACTGCACTGAACCGACTGATACCTGCCGCTCTAGTCACTTCTTTTAAGCATTTTCAAAGCTTTCGTAACATTTAAATCCCTTCTGTGTAATAAAAAATAATCTCCCTCACCAACTTCCAATGCTGCACTCGTCGTTCCCCTAATCCGTTTCCCAACACTTCTAAAGTAGGCTTAGATATCCAACCACTGCAGACGATAACCATGATTCATCAGTATACAGAACAATCAGTAACTTCACAAGATTTGCGATTCAGACGGATACACGAAGATATGGTTAATTCCTTTTCCCAGACACTACAACTCCACCGAATTGTTCCATTTCTTCTTTACAGCCCACCTCTATGCTCCATCACTTAGCAAGTAATCGTTTTTAAGCTGTAATAAAGCCCTGCGGCTGATATTTTTGATGAATTACACTAATGTCGAGAACAGCATTTTTACAGTCTTGAACTGTCATGGCGAATGATGAAATGAACTTCGTTTCAACTTAACCAGAGTGAACAAGAACCTGCAGGCACTGAAGAAAATGAATACAAGAGTAATACCGAGGAGATATGCGGAAAGTAGTCGAACACTATGTACACTCACAGCTCTTGAATATTCGAGAACACATCATGGTGCTAGATCTGCTGGTTTACACAGCAAGCAGATCAGTGCATTAATTCAAAATATGTTTATCTTGTAAACATCATGTATAAAATACAAATTACGAAACCATCGGACTGTAGAAGACACTTTAGAAAACAATGCACGGAAGCTCAATGATGGACAAATCTTATCAGAGCCCACGTCGGAATATCTTAGTGAGTTCGCTGGTAGGCACTCGAAGACAATAATTGAGCAAACGTCAATATGTCATCTGTACAGCATTCATTAGCACATCAGAGTACCGTTCTCATAACTTCCCCATCTTCCCGGGCGACCGGTAAACTCGAAGAAACAAGTTTTTTAGACTTCGACTAGACTTTTAGACTAGACATTATACTTCTACGTGATTTCTGTGCGGTTGGTCTCTACGTGACATACTTAGTGGAAACCTCATAGAAAGCGGCTCTGAAGAAGGCGAAATGCGCCGAAACGTCAGCTTAATCGTGAACAAAGAATAGTAACACCTCGCGTTTGCTCAACAAAAATACGAAAGTTTTTTTAGAATTAAGTACACAAACTAGCCTACTTTATTTCACGTCGTCCGAAACCTCTCTGACAGGCATGCTCCCATCCTAATAAGAAAAATACAGCAAAATCATCCCATATAAAGGAATAAATTAAGGGAAAGAAAATGAAACGAAATCAATCCATACCGGTCACTATGCCCATTCCCACGTATGAGTGATTTATACGCATATCGGCGGCTATGTGTTAAACACCATCGAGGCCTTCGACATTAGAAAATAAGTACGCGGCCAAAAAGAGTGATAACCAGTGCACAAGAACGTCATCGTTTTTACAGCTATTACATTCAACTGTCTTTAGTAGGTCATGGTTAAAACTGAAATACCCCGAAAATTTTTTATTACCATCTAGGCCTTGAACCGTAACGCTATACGTAAGAAGACCAAGTCATGTGTTGAGCAATTTATTTCTAAGAATCGTTAAAGTGGTAAGTGAATAAAATCTACGAAAACTTATGTTTACCTTAAAATTCAAAGAAATAGTGGAGTAATAATCTGAAGTAAGTAAGCAACGTAGTAATGGTAATGGAGTAGAAATTTGGGGTAAAGGAATAATAGTAACTGAGTAATAATTTGTGACTAATTATTTTGCAAGTTTGAAGAATCCTAGAAACACTAATTAAACCTCAGCGCACCGTTTCTAGGAAAATCCTTGGCTGGCTCATAAGTTTGTTTCTGGCCGCGTTTCTTGAATTTCGGTTGTGCCATAGGTAGGTCCGGCAACCAAGTAGTTGACAGCAGCAACACAGGTAGTCTGACGGACGGCAGTTCACTGATACAGTGTCGTTCTATATTTTTCAGTCGCAATGTTCCATACGGCCTTCACACACTGTTGTAGTATTTGTTATTCTGTATACCATCTCCCGACGGTATGTATCATTGCGTTCTCTCTGTCAACATGACATCTCTCTCCGATTGCCAATCTCTTCCCGAAGCATTCCCCATCAATTCGTGTAGTCTGCATTTGCACTTATACGTAGTTCCAGAGTATAACAAAGCCATCAGGTGATCATCATCTTGAAATCCGACCGAAAATAGAATTATGCGGGTATCCCTCGTCGTACACGAAATGATGAGAAGCAGATGACGCGATGTGGCTCAAAAGTTCATATATCTGGGACGTTTTTTTACGCAATATGTTGGTTCCCAATTTTCAGTGTTCAGTCAAAGGTCCACAATAGCTCAATTGCAGAGGAATTCAAAAATTCAAACTACAAAATAGACTATTTATATTTTCATTGTGTCATGCTGGACGAAATCCCGCTTGTTCAACCTCACTGGTACTCGAAACGCAAGCCTTGAAGAAGAAGACCAGGAAAAAATTCGTTTAGTGGGCTCCCTTTACATCAGGTACTCAAAGATATTTACATTTAATGGTTTTTATTTCGATAAGTAAAGCTTCAATCAGCGGTGGTCGTTGATAAGTTCACGATGAGCTGAGGTATGTCGGTTCAACATTCAAAGTACAGAGAACATTTGTTAGGTAGATTAAAAAAATCCTCTATTTGATAGAGAAACGACCTATAGTAACTTCACATGATGTTAGATTGTTGTTAGAATGGAAATGCCTTGTTTGCTTGAACAGCATTGGTGTTTAACACACCCGCAATC